TCTTTTAAGAAAGCAAATAGATACAATACTCCTTATACTCAATTATCATTTTAGCATAATAACTATACATGGCATTGCACCAACCAAACCTTTCTTTTCTCTGATTATGCAATGTTTACAATGCTTGCAATAATCTTTATAGTAATAACAGAAGAAATGAAAATTTAAATATTAACTGATAAAAGCAACATTTCTAACAAAATTTCAATAATGCTTACAATGTTATTAGAACAGAAACATAAACTAAGAAAAACCTCTTTCAACAATATTACTATTCTTTTTAATACTATAATCAACACAAAAAACTTAAAGATTAAAATCAACCTAACAGAAGAAAAAATTAGTATAAATAATGTCTCCTGTTAATTTCATATAAACCTGCTACTTAATACAGTACTAAACACTACCTTTACTCCCTTCATAATGAATATATCAACTACTTATACTATTCACCAAATACCTAAAACTTTACAAAAAGCAAAAGCATTCATTACATTGAATAATCAGAAGCATATCAAACATATTTCAGACAATCTTTCAAACATTAATTGGAAACTTACATTTAAATATCTCAATTTCAAAAACAAACCCTTTAGCTGAAATACTGATTCTACAAAATTAATTTTAAAAACATTCAAAATCAAAATCTTAACTTTAGAACTACTAACACATCTTAACTTTCATAAAAGAAACCCAAAAACTCATATCAACCCATACTGTGCAAAGTGTCCAAACATATTAGAAGACACAGTTCATATGCTTACCTGCCCATATAATCAAATAGAATTGAAAGAAATAATAAAAGAAGCAATAACAAAAGTCTGCAAAAATAATGAAATCGAAACAACAATATCAAAAAACCTTGCTCAAGAAATACAAACCATTCACATAGACCAACAAATTCTGATCAGAATTATAACAAATAACTTACTCAAACTAGAATTATTAAAAAAAAATTCCTACCAAACATTTACCACTGAATTACAAAAAAGATACACAAATACATATGGAAACTGAGTAGAACATATGTTCAACAACAGATTCCATCTGCACCAATTATTATTATCACTAATTCAGATCATACATTACTAACATCAATAGATAAGCAATATACTTCATAGTTTAATAGATTTATATACTTAAACCAAACATCTCTTACTATCCAATCCATAGACTAAAGGTCTCTTAACCATTTTAGCTAAGAATAAGTTGAGGATAAAGTAGCCCTAACCTCTACTCCCTTAGTTTAATGTATTAATTTGTACTAGTTGTACTTAATTATATATTACTAAAATATAGGACTAGAGAAAAGACCTTTTTTAAAAAATAAAAAAAAAAATAACAAAAAGCTTATTTTAAAAAAAATTAAAGATGCTTTTAAGAATATTAGCAAAATTGTTTTAATTAAGTCACTGTTAATAGAAGACACATTTTATCTAACTAATTAGTAGATGATTACCTTTAAGACTACAGAAGACTCAAACTTAGAAGAAAGAATCTTTCAGTTCTATATTTTGCTAAATAACAAAGTTACTACAAAGTGATATTTAGCTCTAAGTTTTGCTACTTTTATAATAATAAAGAATATATTAAAAAAAACTGCACACAATACAAAAAAGCTATAAAACTTTACTAACAATACAAGGAATTTCTTTCTAACAAAAATAAAGAAAAATAACTATTAGTAGATTTAGATAATAAAAATACAAATAATTAAAAACAAAATAATCTTATAGAAAAAATAAATATTAAAGAGCAACAACTAGAAGAAATTCTTCTAAATACTGCTAATGCTACAAAGAATAAAGAAATAAATAATTCTATATTAATAAATAATAATCTTGATAGTCTAATTAATAAACTTATTAACAACATCAGTAATAAGACTTCTGTTATAAAAAACCTAATTACAGATGCTTTTATAAAAATAGAAAAACCAAAATTCCTAAGTACTTCAGTAATGCTAATTACAAATAACTACAGTTTACAATTCTAATTAGATAAATCTAATGATGAATTTACTTAATTCTATAAAGAAAAACAAAAAAAGCAAAAAAAATCTCACAAACCAAAAAATTGATACAACTTCAGCTTTATACAAAAAATCTCATAATAAAGCACAGAACTTAAAAATCTAAAATCTGTACTACTTTATTTTTAACATGACTGAACAATTTGAATTTAAAATTACAAGCCTTAATATAAAAAAGCTAAACAATTAACAAAAACAGTAAAACACTTTAACTTTTTTAAAATCTTATAAGTTAGATCTTATTGTATTACAGAAAACAAATCTAAATAACAAAAATATATAGAGCTTTCTTAAAAACCAATAAATCTTGATTCAATTTGATAAACAAAACAGTTATACTTGCAAACAACAAAGATATGATATTTAAAAATATAAAAATAGACTTAGATAATAAAATTATTATTATAACTTTCAAATTTAAAGTTTTTATATTCCAAATTTCACCTTTTTAATTTAAATAACAGAAAACTTTTTTCAAAAAATAGTTATTACAGATTAATAAAAATGCTATCAATATAATTGAAGGTGACTTTAACACTAATTTGTATTCAGAAAAAGATAAAACTAGTAAAGCAGCATCTTAGCAAGATCTAACAAGAATACAACTTTTAAATTTTATTAAGAACTTTATAAACTCTTTTGACTTTGCAAAAACAAGAACTTTTTACATATTCTTTCAAAAAACACTAGGCAATTAAACAATAATTACATATTTAGATTATATTTTTATTAATAAAAATGCTTATCTAATCTTACAAATTAATACAAAGTAGAAGGATGATAATTCTAGTATAGTGGTTAGGTTGTCATCCTTCAAGCAGTAGGTCCAATATTCAATTCCTATTGGCAACAGATTTTAAAAAAATAGTCCTATTCTGGCAAACTTATCTGTGATCTGAAGTTTGTAGATTCTGTAATTCTGGTTATATCAAGACTAACTTTAGAAGTATGCAATGTTACATGAATAAATCTGAAAAGTATATACTTGGATTAGAAGCCTGCTTAGAAATCTTAAGTAGAGAGGTAGTACAACTTTCAACAGTACCATCTGTAAAGATCTTGATCTGAAGAAAAAAACCTGAGGCAAGTGACCTGTATGGGCAAGAACCTTTAGATAGGAGGTTCATCAACTTGGCCACTAGTTGATCTAGGCATAAAGTCACATTATGCAGAGCTAACTAGATTGGTAGTATAGGAGAACTTACAAGGGTAGATGAGATATAGATGAAGTTGTAAAAGGTGGGTACTAGGGTTGTATAAACTTCGCAAAGGTTGTAAATTAGGTTTAGTTGTAAATTGAAATACTGAAGACTCTAGTAATAATGGTTTGAAAATAATCTGTATGAAATAAGATAGAGATTCTAAAGATATGAGTATGCATCTAGAACTTCTTAACTAACATCATATAATAGAGATGTTCTAATAATACAGTAAGAATTGCAGTACAGAGGGTTTAAATAGGCAATGCCTGTAGTTAAGTTGCAGATATAGCAGCTAGTATAGAACCTATATATAGGTGGACTACTTAAATTAGACACCAAAAGTATATGTGTGACTAAATGTACTCTCTAATATAAAGTAGCTCCTCTGAAGTAATCAGACCATAAGCTATTATGTCCTATTATACTAAATAAAAAAGCTCTAGTTCCCAAAAGACTAGTTTAAAAAAAAAAAATTTAATACAAAGTTTGACAACTTAAACTATTTTTTTTAATAAAGTATACTCTTCTCTTTAAAATAAAAGAAAAGAAGCTATAGATCTGGACACCTAAAGGCGGAAATCACATGACTTGTCTCATTTTCGCATTAAAATTCAAATATAAAAGAATCACACAAAAAATGCATTTACGCATATCCAACGAATTGGTCACGTAATAATCAGCGTAGTTCACAAATTAAATTACAAATCAGTGTTTGGTTAATCAGTTTTAGTGTTAGAATGAGAAAAAAATAAAACCAGATTCAAACTATACTATATGCAGGTACACTATCCAGGGATCGATACTAGTGTTATAAATTCAATGAAGTGCATATTATATTCAATAGCATGTGTGCAAACTCTAGAATCATGTGCACATTTTTCACCTAAGCAAATTTAAAAATAGGCACAGAAAAAAATTATATGCGCTTTACATATTATAGAGTGCTAATCATTTTAATGTGCAAAATTTAAATCCATGTAGCTGCACCCACTGCACTAGTCCAATTTACATTACCGATCGATACCAAAAAACAGTTAATAACTTGAAATTTTGACTATGAAATTACCTCTGCATTAACAAAAAAATTTGTATAAAATATGTCTTATTGTAATCTCTATCCTTACCCTGAGATAAAATATTATACTATTGTTTTGATTATTCAAAGATACCTAATGGATGCATATTTGTCAATCTTTCTGGAATAGCTGTATAAATAAAACCTATTGCATGATTTGGGCCATAAATAATTAATTTGGCTTACAAAGAAATTCTGGCTTAGAAAAAAAATTTTTTTTTTTAAAACAAATTTTTTTTTTAATCATGGGTTAATTAACACTATTTATTCATATTGAATTAATTGCATATTACGAAGACATTAAACCCAACCAATCTTTTGATATCTAATCTAATCAAAAGAATCCACACGATTACATTTTTATATTTTGTAACCTTAAATTGAAATTCTTTACTGCAATCAATCAGCATTTTTATTTCTATTTGTCTACCCTTATGCTGTTTCTGAATGTTACATGTAGGATTACATCAAATGCTGTTTTACTAATAATCAATTGCATTAATTTTTATTTTAAAAAACTTCAAAAAAAAAATAAAATAAAATAAAAATAAATAAATAAATTAGCATAGTGTCTTAAAAAAAATATATATATACTTTAGTATATTTAAACGTTATTGGCACCATTTTCCTGTAAAAATAATGTTAATTCTTTTTAAGAAATTCACCTATGTGATTTAAATTTTTTGCATGCTCATTCTGCTAATTTTCCTGTCAGTCCCTTATGATATAACTCCATATATCTCCATGATTTTCTGGCAAATTTTCTAATCGTAATGATATCTACTGAATCAAGCACTTGTGGAACAGTATTTTGCAAGCCAACCTATGTGTAGTCGCAGTGATTCCTTGTATACCTTTTAGCCGCACTTCAATACATTTCAATAAAGTTAAGTTCACAATGGAACTTTGGATAAAAAATGCAAATATGGCCGGCACCTTCGATTAATTCCATGATAGCAGACTTTTGAGCCAAAAAATCTGGTTAAGAAGCCATAATTCTCCTCAAGCAGCAATCGATTTGTCCAGAATTTTCTTTTTTTTTGCACATTAAACATTCCAAATTTAACCCTTCTTTCTATAGGCTTCTTTCCTCTAACACTCTTTTTATTCCTTTAGGTTTTCCTCTCAGATTAGGGTCAGAGTAATTCTTCTCAAATACCATTTCTTGTTCTATTAATTGTCCATTGCTATTAATAAAAGTCGTCAGTCGCATTACACTTTGCTTTCCTCCAGGGCCTTTGTTCATTCTTTGCATCACAATGGCATTATCCGCAAATGTTAAATGATTCGTACTATTATCAAAAGGAATTTTGCTTCAAAAATGGGTATTGCCTTCTCCTTAATTTGTTTTAACAAATGTTCGACCATCCAATAATTTTTTTGATTTTTATCAGGTGTAAAGTAACAGCGTGCTTCTGCAGGAATATTAAGATTTTTTTTTTTCTTCTTTGCTTAATTGTAACCTTTCACATACTTCTAAAAGAAATTCGCTCACCATAATTGACTTTCCATTCCCTTTCTTACACAATGGCATTTTCTCATCATGCACCCAAATTCCTCTTTTTTTCATCATTTGCACAGAAACTACACTCATCATGAGTAACAAGAATCAGCTCTTACTCACCTACTCCAAGTACAGGTGGAATCGGCTCCATAATACTTCCTTCATACCTCACTATCCTTCTTTCTAAAGTTCTTATTTCTTCCAAAAACCTCTTCCGATATTCAACAACATCCTCTCTCCCGTGTCCATCAAAGTATATACCCTTTTTGTATTTTTCAAATCTGCATTCTAAAATATTTAACTATCTTTTAGCCATTCTTAAGCTAACTGATTTTCTAACCCCTCCTACATGCTCAGGTAAAATAGCATAGTCAATATATTGTTTGAATTAGGATGGGTTAATGCCATTGATTCCTGAATGTTCTCTTATCCATTGATTACATTTTAATGCTACGTCTTCATCATCAATCAATCTTTTGCATTTTTGATGTTGACCACGATAAGAGACTGGAAAACATTCATGACGCAAATAAAATTCACCAAGAAAGCAAATTCTCTTGTATTTATATGGTTTTGGGGAAATATAAACTATGCTTGCTATGATTTTACTCACTTTCATTTTTCCATGACCATCATATAGCCATACAAAATATTCATAAACTCGCCGTTCATTATATTCAAAAACTGTGAATGTTTTTTCATTATTCAGGAGGTCTTTTTGAAGCTGAGCAATTATATCTTCAAGGGCAACAGATGCATCTTCACTACCATTTCCACTACCACTATCATCGCTATCCTCACTTATATCCTCATTGTTATCAAATCTGGTTATAGTTGGATATATTGGGGTTACTGAAGACAAAGACGCTGAATACATTGGGGTTACTGAAGATGCCAAAGACGCTGAATACATTGATGATGCCGATGTTGGAGACCTGAAAAAGCTGGTGATTTTAGAAGTTCCTCTGGCAGCATTGGCAAGAATACTGGAAGTGCCGAACTTACGATAATAAGTTGATTTTGGCATACCTTTAACTGTCCTTATTTCCAGTTTATTTTTCCATATGAGAGGTGCGGCAAGTAGACATATATTTGTCTTTTCTTCTTCATCTGTCCCCTCATCTTCTTCCTGACTATTATCTTCCTCCAAATCTTGTTCAAAATCCTTCTGAATTTCCTCTTCTAAAATATACCTTTCCCCTCACTTTTGCTGAGCTATTTTTTTTCTTTTATGGTTGTATTCATGAAGTCTGGCATATTTTTTTCTCTTTGCCATATTCTTTTTTTTTTTTTTTTTTTTTGTAGCCAGTTATTAATTGCAATATTAAAGTTCTAATGGCCTTTCAGTAACTATTCAGGTTTGATCACAGCTATTTTTCGTCTCGTTTAGATTGGTCACAACTTATTTCGTCTTGGTCCAGGTTTTTTTTTTTTTATTCACGCTGTTTCATTTTGTTCAAGTTGATTACGGCTTGGTTCAGGCTTTTTTTTTATTCATGCCATCTCGTCTCATTGTTGGGGTTTGTTCACAGTATTATTTCGTCTCATTGTTCAGGTTTGGCAAAATTATTTCAACTTGTTCAGGTCTTATTCATGCCACTTCATCGTCAGTTCCTTCCTGAGGTTAGTTAAACTTCCTATTCATGGTCGCTTTTATATGTTGCACCTTATCTTGCATACATCTGGATGATTATGATAACGAACTTTTTTTTTTTACAGCAATTAACAGAATCGAACCTTTTTTTTACAGCATGATGACTACATGTTGCACCTTATCTTGCATACATCTGGAATAATTATAAATTTTTTTTTACAGCTTGCATACATTATCGATAGTGTGACTAATAAAATAAAAAGTAATTAAAAACGTGATCAGATATTAACCAATCAAATTCCGACTATAATTTGATTAGATAAAAATTGATCACATTATTTGTCCCATTTTTGATCAATCATATGAAAATGCAACTTTTTTAAATTAATATATTTCAATTACAGGTAATTTTTTTTTAAAAAAAAGGCTGCTATTTTGTAGCAAATTGATTTTGCTACAAAATAGCAGCTTTATTTTTTTTATATCTTGTTGGTATATTTTTAGATTATTTTTTAAAAATGTTTATTTTTATTTCTGTTTTTAGGTGTCCTGCTTTGTAGCTCTTTAAAAATTTAATAAAGATTGTTTTATGAATAAAAAACTAAAAAAAGAAGTGTTAGCAGAAATTATAAAGTTAAAAGAGATAAATAATTGTAACTTTTGCAAAGTTCATATACAATCTTTTATAAGAGCATTTAAAAAGCCAAAAGTTATTGAAAACAAGATTGTAAAACTAAATAAAAACATAATTTAGCTAAAAAAAAGACTAGTTCACAACTTAGAAAATTCTTTTTTATACAATCAACTTAACAAACTAAACCTAAATCTTCAAGACAAACTATTATATTTTACAATAAAATAATGAATATATTTAAAGCACAATAGATTAAGCAAAGAAAAAAATCGACAAAATACTTTTTTGCTAGATATAAAATTAAAAAAGCCTACTAATCTTTAAAGAACATTAAGGACCTGATGCCTTATTATATTTGAGTAAAAATGCTCTTCAATATATTAAAAACACTTATGTTAAGAATATAAGAAAGATAATATAGACATTAACTTAGTCAAAAAAATTACAAAAAATCTGTTTTAAGCTTTATTAGCTTATAACTTAGTGCTTATGCAAGAAATTACTCAAGAGGTAATTAGTAATATTATTAAAAACTTTTTGAATAACAAAACACCAGATACTAATAATCTAATATATGAGTTTTATAAACTTACTCAAAAGGTTATAACTTTAAACTTATATAAAATATTTAATTATACTCTAAACTTGAGAATTATATCAACTTTTTAATAAAAGAGCCTGATTTTTTTAATATCTAAAAAAACAACAAACTTGAAAAAGGGTATAGTGACTTAGTGAAGTGAATAAGTTGTCATACCCCAAGTGGTAGGTTGTGAGTTCAAAATCTATCGATGGCGAAATTTGAATAATTATCTATGTAATATATAGATGGTATTACGGCGATGGTATTCTGTCGATCAGTTAGAATAGGATACCTGTAACTATGGTCGCACCAGCATGACTGGCAGGTCTGGGGCATCTGTGTAACCTGTTACACAGAGGA